GCTGTTGTAAGCATCTCAGCACTGGCAGGGTCTCCACATGGCTTCTCCAGCACCCAGGGCTGCATCAGGGTAGGTCCATGTAGCTTCTCCTCAGGGATGTCTCGCAGGGAGTCAGCCTTGTCAGTAGAGAGTCTCCAAGGGTGTGAGAAGAGAGAGAGAAGTGTATTCTGCCTTCAAGGAGGAAAATACAGGAGTACCCAGAATCCTTAGGAGAAGGCTATACCCACACAGAAACCTCATTAGCTAAGACCCAATTGACAGACTAGACCCCACCCCTTCACTACTAATCCTCTCAAGTCCCAAATTCACACCAGATTTTAGAACTACCACACACATCAATATGATTTTTTGTTCTGGGACTTCGATGCCTGATACCTGAGCCCATCGACACCTCATGATCACATAGCTGGTGTGCTTCCTCCATATGGGCTTTGTTGCTTCTCAGCTAGATGACCACTTGTTTATCTTCAAGCCTTTACAACCCAAGACACTATATCTTTTGATAGCTGGGCACCATCAACTACACCACATTTGCTTATGCACCCATTTTGTCTTCAGCCATCATGTTGGGAAGGTGAGCATCACAGAATCCTAGAACCTGGCAGTCATTTATGCTGTTGTTTATAGGGCCTTTATGAGTTGGAACTAACTCAGTGGCATTGAACACATAACTTTTTACATATTTAAATGATTAGGCAAAAAAGAAGAATAATATTTCATGACAAGCAAAAATAATATTCAAATTTGTTTTCATAAATAGTTACTGGAATATAACTGTGCTAATGTGTTTAAATATTATTTATGGCTGCATTCACAACACAATAGCAAAGTTGAATTAATTATAATAGAGATCATATGAGGAAAAAAAGCCTGAAATATCTCCTATCTAACCCTTTATAAAAATAATTAAAGAGTGTGCCAACCAATTGTTGTAAAGTTGACTCAGAGTGACTCTATGCGTGTTAAAGTAGATTGCTTCCCCATAGAGTTTCTAAGGCATTCTTCAATAGAGCCACTTCCTCTGAGATGTTCTGGGTGGCCTTGGTCAAAAGCCACGTTTGTTAACCATTTGCACTGCTCAGGGACTTCTGCTGTAGAACGCTTAATTTTTTTATGCTTCTGTGTACTGAAAGGGAAGCAACAGTAACTTATTACTTCTTAGAACTCTCTTCCCACATGATATCTCCTGATGTTTTATCATTACATTGATTACAGAAAGTAGAAAGTAAGCTGATGCTTATGTTGAAGGGTACAGGCTATGGATCCCCTCATAACAGCTTGTGAATCTTGACTGAACCATTCCCAACTTTGATCTAGTTACTTATATGGAGACTGCATGGATTAAATTGTGTCTCTCCTCCCAAAATATTTTTAACACCTTGGCCCTAGTCCCTTGGACATGACCTTCCTTGGAAAAAAGGGTCTTTTGAAGATAGTATCAATTCAGTTAGCCTGAAGTCATACTGGAATAGGGTGGGCTTTTGTTCAATTTGACTGATGATTTTATAAAATGAGAAGAAACACAGAAACTGACAGATACAGTGTAGGTTGATTCAGTGTCAGTAACTACAAACGTTGCCTCCATATGAATGGTAAGAAGGAAAGCATGGTTTCTGACTTAAGGAAACTTACAATCTACTTGGGAGTGTCAAATCGCCATGAATCTGAATCTCAAGAGCAAGCGAATATCCAGTGAATCATCATCCCCTGTGAAGCACCTCTTTTTGACCAGCCTCTCACTTTAGAGACAGCCCTTGTGCTCTTGTTGCAGGTACACAAAACACCTCTTTGGGAATCACCACAAACACAAGCACTACATGCAAAGGTTAATTTCTCTACATGACTCTAAACCCCTAAAAATAGTTTATTGTTCCAGAAGTAGGATTGTAACTCTCAACATCCTCAGTAGAATTTTAAATTCTGAAGTGAGATGTACAGAAATGTTAAAGAAAATTACATTGATAGCAATAACAAATTATAGACACAAACTCATTGACCAGGATTCACAATCCACCCTACTCTATCTACTCCTCTCGCATATTGCTCACTGGACTCCCTTCAATGTTGGTAGAACTTTCCCAGATTCCTTCTCTCTGCTTTCACTAGCCAGAATCAATGCTTACATTTACAACCCAAGATACCTTAATGAACGTCATCTGTCTACAAAGTCACCCAATCTAATTTTAATTCCTTAAGATCAGTTTTTTTCTGAGTAGTTAATGGACTGTAAAACACAGCATACACCTAAAAGGAATATCAGTTAAGACAGCTAGAATTCAAGTTTACACACCAACCATTAAAGCCAATGATAAGAAATTAAAGAACACTATCAACTTCTTCAGTCTGAAATTGGTAAAACATACCATCAAGATGCATTGACTGTAACTGATGGTTACAATGCAGAAGTTGGAAGTGAAGAAGATTGGTAGTTAAAATGTTCCAACTTGATGGCGCTCCAGCCATTGAGCTTCTCCATTGGCTCTTCCCCCAGACGTAGTCGATTGGATTTCTCTATATTCCATCTGGAGAAATCCACGTGTACAGTCAGTGTTTGAGTTATTGAAAAATTATAGTTATGGTCAAACAGTTGTCGGTCTTGCAACATTTTCTTATACGATCTCCAGTTTTGCATGTGTCACCAAGGCCACATTTTCCAGTTACTACTATACCTTGCTCTTTGTTTCTGATGTTTGCATTCCAATTCCCAATAATCGTCGATGTGTCCTGATTGCATATGTAATCGATTTCAGGCTGGAGACATTGGGAGAATTCCCACTAGCTTTAGTGATTGGTGCATACATATGAATAACACTTGTACTGACTTGATTTCCTTGTATGCTGATAGAGATTATCCTATGACAGACAGCATTGTACTTGAAGTTAGATCTTTTTTTTATATGTACATTAAAACTTTATTGTTTTGTCAGTAAACCACGATGAAGCTTAGAACTGGATCACCTGGCCCTTTCTCTTCTTATCTCCTCCCAGTTCAAAATGCCTGCATCGCTTAATAGCCAACATTCTCTTAGATCTGCAGTTGGGCTCAACACACTCAAGCCTCAGCACAATCTTCTTTGTCATTTTAGCCTTCTTTCGGAAAATTGGCTTCGTCTGCCCACCATAGCCACTCTGCCTCCTATCATATAGTCGCTTTCCCTGGGCATACAGAGAATTTTTACCCTTCTTGTACTGTGTCACTTTGTGGGGTTGGTGCTTGCCACACTTCTTACAGAAAGTCCGGCGAGTTTTAGGAATGTTCACCATGTTTTCAGGAGCAATATCAGCACGAAAAGAAAAAAAGGGAAGTGAGATCTTTCAATTGAGGTTTTTGCCCCTAAATCCAGACAGAATGGTTCACATTTAAAACATTCATAGCTTACTCTTTATATTTATCAAAAAGTGTAAAACTATTTGGAAAATTAACCATATGTAAATGTCTCATTGTCCATATACTAAAACCAGATCATCTGTAATTTCCTGAGACTGTAATTTTTTTAAGTAATGTCGAACAATAATTCCTCACTAGTCAGACTACTTTTTATCACTACTAGCGAGGCTTATAAAATAAACTTTGCCCATTTTACCTTTACACTAATTACTAGAATCTTGGACTGAATCCTTTTTAAGAACAAAGTTGCTATTTGAGAAAAAGATGATGAAATTTGGATAAATCAGATGAAAATAACTTCTGTTTTCTCCCTTGGGGCAAGACCTACTGTTGGTTAATTCTCCATTGCTACTTCGTTTCAGAGGATCTCATTTTTAATTTTAACATTGTATAATCCACAACAATTCACATTTGGGTGCCAACTTGAACTAGACAATGTCTTAGGACATCAAATCGCTGTTCAATGGTGAAATACTTCACATCACTGGCAATCGTTTATCCAATATCAAAATAAATTGTTTAAATCTACAAGTCTTGTGTTGCTGAGATAGTCTACTTAGCTGTCCATTGACTTCCCATCTTGCTTTGGGGGACAAGTATGCACCAGAAATGAAGACTGTGCAAGCGATGCTCACAAACATTTTGGTTGGCCACATACCTTACCATAGAGGTCCATCCTGTAACAGGCCCTCTAATGGCAGAGTTATCGATCTTCTTATAAAATTAATTATCACTCCATGTGCACACATTTCTAACTGAAGGTCTAGAAACCAAGGATAGTTTCATATCTTATATACCATATGCAAATGGGGGCTTTATCTCAATGCTTACAAAAATGAACAAAAATTCCCTTCACCTAGTGAATGCCAATTAGTTAATCCACAGTGTCTTAACTATGTCATACCTCTATAACAAAAACCAACCACGAGTGGATGGTTTTAACAAAGAGAAATTGACTGTCTCACCCTTTAGAAGGCTAGAGAACCAAATTCAGAATCCATGCTCCAAGGCAGTCTTTTCTGTGTGTCGCTTCTAGAAGGTCCTTTCTCCTTGACAGTCTGCCCCGGGTGATCTTCATGTGGCTTGGTACGCGTCTGTCCCCATAGCTAGGTGGTATCCTTGTTTCTTTTTGTATCTCAAAAAATATATCCGATAACAATATTATTTCATTGATGTTACAAAAACAACCAATTCTCAAATGGGATTATAACCATAAGCAAAGAGGCTAGACTACACAACACATATTAGGGGGGAGTGGGGACTTCAACCTGTAACATGTTCTCTTTTGTGACGTGACAGGCTTTTCAAGGAAAAGCCTGCTCCTCAGCTGTGACATCCTGTCTGGGCTCTGGCATGCCTCGAGCTTGAAAATGTGTCTCCGCTCACAAAGAGAAGTGAAAGCCACCTGCCACAAAGTCTGCGGCCCCTGTGATCTGGCAGGCTCGTGGCTCTTAGACAGCAACGTGAGGTGAAGAACCACACATTACGGAATCATCCATTATTAAAACATATACTTATTTTAAGACACTTATCTGTGTTTGGAATGGCAAATGTTAAACATATTTTATCATGATAAAATAATTATCAACACATTTTTTAAGGGCATTTCTGTAACAGCAATGTACTCAGTGCTAGAATAATTCCAAATAAGTGATATTCCTTCGGCTACTCTATGATATTTTGTTTATAAATCTTAGATAAAATGTCATGGGGTGACTTCAGATTGACTATTGAAACAGTGGTCATCAAGCTTGTCTTCACATTGGAATCACCAGAGCGCTTCAAGACTTATTGTTGTCTGTGTTCCACCCTATACATTGCTGATTATTCCATCTTTGTAAGATGTGAACTTGGGAATGTTTAATAGTTGCTCAAATGTTTCTTATATATAACCAAGTTTGAGAAATGCTGGTCTACGGGACTACTGATTACCATCCCAACATGTGAGTGCTAGATAAATTCTTGCTAAAACCTCAGTGTTATTTGACATGGCCAGAAAATGACATTCATGCTAATTAAAAATAGTCATTACCACATACAAAAGAGCTTCTAAAAGTTTATAAAATGGAATTTTAAAGTAATGGAAATTTTCCATGAAAAGTTTGAAGCCCCTTCATAATAAAACATCAATTATCTTATTGACATCCTATATAAACCTCACAATATTTCTACTAAAGAGATATTATTAATCCCACCTAACTGATGAATAAACCAAGGGTCAGAAAGTTTAAGTGGCTTAGTCCAAGGTTACCTGACAATAAATTGTGTAGCTGATATTTGAATCCAAATCTGTTTAATGCTAAAACCTGCCTCTTTCCACTGCACTGTACATTTCAACAAGGAAAATATCACTCCCTCGGATTGAAAATCAGCTCACTGAAGTGAAAAGGTAGTTTGATATTATAGTAGTGTGCAACCCTCCAAAGTTCACAGCATTTCATACCTTAGGTTTTAATTATCCTCAGCGGAAAGAATTCAGATTTCATTTCAATGAAAGGCAATATTTTTAAGACGAGAAACATTTCATTGTATAATACTCTGAATCCATCCATTCCGTTTTAATGTGTTGACGTATATCTTACCCATGTTATATACAAATGTATACCATACAGAATACCTGTAGAAAAATGGGTTCTTCTCAATTTTACAATTGCTGAGTTGTACTTCGAATTGACAAGAAACTCATATAAATAAAACTATGTAAATAATAGGTCCCTAGAATGCTAATGACAGAGAAGCCAATAAATAGTAAGGTCAATGATTATCATCTAAAAGTCATTATCAATGTCTATCATATTGTTAGTCCACCATTATAATAATAAATAAATATTAAAGCAAGTTTTCTCTGATCTGACCCTGTTAGATGTCAAAACATACCAAATAGCTAAACTTTAGGAGGCAAGACTCACGCCATGTTCAACTCGATAGCTCCTATAACCCTGGGTCTCAGACCAGTCAGCCAGCCAACAAATGTTTGTGAGATCAGACGCTGAATTGCCATGATCACTCAGAGACTGCCGACCATCTCATGCAATGTAATAAATAATAAAACAACTCGAGTAAATTGTCATCTTCATTGAACCAGAAGAGGTTCCCCCTACTTTTTAAAAAGTTATTATCTTTACGCTCTTTTCTACTCTCTGACAGTGAGAAATGAAGCAGAAAATTATCATCAAACTTGAGCCTAACACCTTCTTTATAAAGCGAGTAACTTAATTTACTGCCACTTTCTGCTTATGGAAGAATGCATTGACAGGCATTTAAGATTCCTGCCAAGTGTTCAAATATCTCTGTTCAGACACGGAGTGAAGGCAGGGATAAAGTCTATGCTACAGCATCCTGAAAGGCTACTACTGGGAAGATGAGGGCTGCCGTAAGTCCAAAGTGATGGAATGTTTATATTCACTTCAAGGAATTGGCATAATGAAATTGATGTGACCGTGAGAAATATAGAGCCACATAAACTTATTTACCTAAGGCAAGATTAAAATGCTTTGAATAATTTCCTCAGAGGTGCTGTTTGCTTTGAAAACTTGACAATTTCATAGCCAAGGGAGATGATTTAGCAATGTTCTATGAAATTACCCTGATGTGTCCAGTTATTGAGGAAACCAAAGAATATTTGAGAATGTCCAGGGCCCAGAGAGCACACGCTAAAAGTGAGACTGAAGTAGTGCCAGGGAAGAGAGCTATAGTGTCAGTAACTGCTTCTCCGCGGTGGACCTGAAAATGGAATATATCAGCAAAGTTGTAATTCTTGATGATGACTGCTATTGGGAGTTAAGATAATATCAGGCAATGGCAGAAATTTCATTGCGTGGAGAATTCTGGTTATTTTTGCTTTCTTTGGTCAAGAGGCAGGTTTATAGGCACACTCTCTTGCATCCAGGGTACCTGTTTAACCTTAGTAAATTTCATTGTGCTGCTCACTGAAGAGACAAATGGGGCACACAGGCACAATTAATTAGATTTGCAGTATAGAACTCAAGCCTGCTGAATGAGACTGAAAAAGAGCAAAGTAGCATGCAGATTAGTGACCTAGTTAGAGTATGTGCCAACAAAGGAGCTATTAAGAGGTATTATTATAAGGTATTAATAATAATAACAATGATAAAAACCAAACTCACTGCCATCTAATCAATTCTGACCCATAGCAACCCTGTAGGACAAGGTGGAACTGGCCCTGTGGATTTCCAAGACTATAAATCTGGAAGAAAACAGAAATGATGATGATGGCATTTATTGAACATTGGCTGTATGTCTGTCCATTACCATAAGTGGTTAATATTCATTTTTTCATTTAAAAGTCCCAAAATGACAGAGAATTACAAGATGTCCAGTAAGACTTCTTCCCATCTTTTCTATGAGGAGGACGACCACCAAGAGTGGGTAAGGGAAATGCTGGAGGACAGCCTTTGCGTGAGGTTATCCTGAGCTACAAGGAACTCTTTGAACTTGCCAGCAGAGTCCTTTCACAGGAAAGCTTCCTTTCCTTTTGTCTGTCTGTGTCATGGGGTATCTTCGTTCTTCGTGAGGGTCAAAGTCAATTCAATGGAAGGGAGGCCCCAAGGACATTTTCTGAGCTCACAGAATCAAATCACCAGTAGGGATGTATGCCCCTAATAATAGTAGGGTGCTTTCCATCTTGACCTCTCACATGTGCTTCTCTGTGTTCATTGTGAGTTTTTTCTCACTTATGATATGCATGTCCCCTTCCCTTGGTTGGGATCCCCCACTAAACAAACAAACAAACAAACAAACAAAAAGCCGAAAAACCTCACGACCATTGATTTGATTCCAAGTCACAGTGAATTTCCAAGACTGTAAATATTTACAGGAGTAGAAAGCCGCATTTTCCTCCCATGGAGAGGCCAGCAGTTTGG